TACCAAGACCCTAACCCTAATAAATGAGCACACCCCAAAGTAGTGGGCAAATTTGGTAACACCCCTGCCAGGCTTTTTGACTGTCTGTACTTAGCCGATGACTCCTAGGCTACAGGTTACCCAGAGAGGTGGTGCAGTCTCCATCCTTGGAGGTTTTTAGGATCCAACTAGACAAAGCCTTGGCCGGGACGATGTAGTTGGGGCTGGTCTTGCTTGGAGCAGGGGGTTGCACTAGATGTGACCTCCTGAGCTCCCTTCAACCCTAATTGTCTGTGAGTCTATGACTTGCTTTCCCTCCCAGCCCCTACAAGTAGCTGGCATGAGGCTTGGCCTTTCCTTTAGACCCCAAGCTGGACAATGGTGTGCCAGGAAGGGTGACCCGTTATCCTATATCCCTGTGGGTAACTCCGAAAGTGAAGCAAGATTAGCTCCTTGGAGCTGGAGGAAAAGAGTAGAGGCTGTGAACAGGTTTGTTCTGGGAGAGGCGGTGGCTGGGACATTGGGATCCCAACCTCCATTCATCTCCTGGCCAAGAGCCATTGGTGAGGTAACAACAGAGACCAAACCACCACATTGTGCAATGGGAGAAGCTGCAGAATCGTTCCTGCCGTCTTCTCCTCACTGGCAGGGATGTCTCAATGTGTGCTGCCTTTCTCAATCGTGGGTCACTGTGCAGGTGGGTTCTCTCCTCTTGCCAGTTTCTTTCCAGCCGTGATGTTGCATTTCCATTGACCCAGCCAGCGAGGCCATGCAGGAAACAAGGGGAGGCTTGCAGTGTCACCTGAGACCTACCAGAGTCCGGGGCCGGGCAGAGCTGTGAATATCACTGCAGGGAGATCAATCGATGCTTCTCCAATAAGACAAGGGACCCCGAGAATATGAGATTGTCACAGAACCACAGACAATGAGGGCTGAAGGGAGCTCAGGGGGTCACATCTAGTCCAACCCCCGCTCCAAGCAGCACCAGCCCCGACTACATCATCCCAGCCAAGGCTTTGTTGAGCCAGGTCTTAAACACCTCCAAAGATGGAGACTGCACCACTTCTCTGGGTAACTTGTCCCAGTGCTTCACTACCCTCCTGGTGAGAGAGTTTTTCCTCATATTCAACCTCAACTTCCCTTGCTGCAGCCTGAGCCCATTGCTCCTTGTCCCGTCATCTGCCCCCACTGAGAACAGCCCAGCTCCATCCTCTTTGCAGCCCCCCTGCAGGGAGTTGAAGGCAGCTGTTCAATCCCCCTTGGTCTTCTCTTCTCCACACTCAATCAGTCCAGGTCCCTCAGCCTCTCCTCACCAGTCCTGTCCCCCAGCCCCACAACCACTTTCATTGCCCTCCACTGGACTCTCTCCAATGTGTCCACATCCTTTCTGTAGTGGGGGCCACAGCTGGACACAGGACTCCAGATGTGGCCTCCCCAGTGCTGAATAGAGGGGAAGAATCACTGCCCTCGATGTGCTGGCAATGCTTCTACCAATGCAGCCCAGGACGCCGGTAGCCTTCTTGGCACCAAGGGCGCACTGCTGGCTCCTGTTCAGCTTCTTGTCCCCTTTCCCCCCCAGGTCTTTTCTGCAGACCTGCCCCCCAGCCTGCACCGGTGCATGGGATTGCTCCCTCCTAAGCGCAGGACTTTGCACTTGTCCTTGTTGAACCTCATGAGATTTATTTTGGCCCAATCCTCCAGTTTGTTGACTTCTCTTTGAATCCTAGCCCTACCCCCCAGCATGTCTTCTGCAGCATATTTCCCATCCATTCACCTTCAGCTAACAAGTCCTGCCTGAACCTGTTTATGTCCATGGTTCTCTCGTATTTATTGTTCAACAAACTGGATGCCAGGGACTGTCTACGTGTCTGTACAGGACTGGCTATATATTTGTACAGCTCCCAGCACAATGGCTCGTGGGGGCCTCTCTTCAAGTACGACAGTCCCCTGGGTCCCGGAAGGCAGGCGTTTGAGATTGCCGAAAGAGATTCTGGGCCGCCTTGCCAGAACTGCGGCATGGCCAGCTCCCTTGACTTCAGCACCCATCGTGCAATGGTGAGTGGTCTTCTTCAAGCCCCAGCTGCCAGCGTCAGGTGACAGCGAGGTTCAGAAATCACTGCGAGCCAAGCACCAGCGCTTGATGAGTGTGGGGCGCTCGATGATTCAACACGGCGCGTCGGCTCTGTTGCATCCTTGTGAGTGTCCGGGGAAGTTCGCCACAACTGCCTCTCCCAGCCAAGCATCCTGCCAACAACTGCCCACCAACACAAAGCAAACACCGTATCCAAATACACACGAGCAATCTAGAAACCAGCAATGTTCAATTAGCCCTGAATTGCTCCACAAGCTTGTCCAGATCGCTGAGTCCCCCCCCGATATATCAGCACTAGTATCATTAGGCGGCAACAAGGCCGTTGGCTCTGGTGATAGCACATCCTGGGACTCAGCCTTGCTGCCCTGCCATCACTGGTGCCTGTCGGTGAGTTTTTGGGGCAAAACAACCCATTCTGTCTCCCTTATCTTCTTGCCCCCTGGTCTTTTGGAGAAGGTGTTGTCCTCCATAATCTCTGGGGATACATGCCATGCGTCCAAGTAGCTTATGATACCGCTGCTGTTTGCTTCCCAGGGGAGATCAACACTGAAACAGGATGGTTTACATAGGGGTGCTCCTGTCTTGAGCAGGGGGTTGGACTAGATGGGACCCCTGTGGTCCCTGCCCACCCTGTTCTTCTGTGATCTTATCATATTCTTTCTTGAGGTGGAGCCCTGGTCTGTTGTGTTGATGGAGTAACACCAGAGCTGGGTCCAAGATTGACATTCACTGGGCCAAGCCCTCATTTTTCATTGCCTTAATTTAATCTAAACTGGTTTCTGTCTATGACTCTCTTCCTTGGCATCACACGAGGTTTCTGAATTGTAGGACAGTCCTCCCCGATGCCCACGGGCCTTGTGGTTCCTTTCCCTGCTATTAGTGAGCTGGGGTTGTTTTCTAATGGCAGCGAGGCAGGGTGGGAAATCTCACGTTGGGATGGAGGACATCAGCTCTCTGCCGTGCCCTTGTTGTGACTGTGAAGCCTGGGTTGGAGCCCAGGTTGCCCCACCCTCTGGAGATGTTCTGCTTAATTGTTGTTCTGCTTAATTGTTCACCTCTGTTGCTTCTGTTTAATCTGAGTTTCGCCACTGTACCTCTCGGAAAAACAGAGACTGAGTCACACAGGTTTGAAAATTAGCTATATTTACCTGTGCAAGAAGAGTGGGTGCTGGAAGAAGTTACATCACCCCCAAATTACAGGCCTACTTTCCAGGTAAGCAAATGGCTCCATGGAGATACAGAACACAAAACTCCAGTGGGAGGCCAAAATCAGGAAATCCCAGGTACCCAGCAGGCATGGAGGGCATCCCATTAGAAAGCCATTTGCAACGACGTGTGGCATAAGGAAAAGCATGTGCAATTTCAGTTTTTATGTGCAACTGGATCTGGTGAAGTGAGAATCGAGCCAGCTCTGTTAACACAACAGACCAGGGCTACATCTCAAGAAAGAAGACAGTAGAATCGGAAGGGGTGTTTGAGCAGACGAGGCAAGTTATTAGAGGTAATAGAAGAAAGTTGCATGGGCTGAGGGTCCTAAACTAATAGTAGCTGATGCCAGGCAGCAGCCAGGGAGGGGCTAGATGGATGACGCAGGAAGGCCCTCCTTATGAAGGCTTGGGAAAAGGTGAGATGGGGAGAGAGCATCATTTGGATCCACTGAGGATCGCCCTGTGTGGAGAAGAGCGGCTGTGAGAGTGGTGCACGTGAGAGTCAGCTGGTACTTCGGTGCTTCTACCTGCCCCTTGCCAATATTTTCCCATCAAAAATTAATTGAGTCCAAGTCTGGCATGTTTTTGCTATTTTTTCTATGATATTTCCATTTTTTTATGTTAACAAAAAGGCAACTCTCTCCTCCTTGTGATCCAAAGATTCATTTCCTTATTTCTTTCAGCTTTCTCTGCTCAGTTTATCTATATCTATATCTATATCTAGTGAGGCGGTGGGCACCAAGGTGTGCTCCACCATGCTGGGGGGAGGGGTGGCGAGGGGCGTGGCTTGCACCATATGGGCGGTGCATGCCTACATTTGCCTGCTATATCACTGTTGGGGCATGCTATAAATGTGGAGAGCACCGCTACGGTATAGCTAGTGATTGTGTGTAGACCTGCGTGATTGCTACGTCCCCGTCGTGCGCTGTACGGTGATGTGGTGCAATGCTGCATCGCCGTAGGGCAACGTGTGCCCCCGCCCTATGAAGATGAAGTTGGTTCCTTATTCCCAGCTCCTTATTTCCAGTTCCTGGGTCCTTTTTCAAAGCTAATCTTTACACAATGAAAGGTTGTCAGCAATGAATGAGGCATGCTAAAGAGTTTGAATTGCATCAAAAAAATTATATTGACTAATAATAATATCAAATAATATCGTGCATCAAGTATATAACCCAGAATAAAGAGCTGAGATCAGGCTGGGATTCTGTTATGTTACAGTTTTATTCATCAATATACACCAGAAAACACACTCCTTTTTGGGGATGCTGCTGGCTCTCATTCATTCTGTTAGGGTTTGGTGCTTCCTTGCATAACAGCTGGAGGAAAAACACTCCAAAGCTGGACAAGATCTCTATACAGAGTCACAAGGCAACCGCCTACACTTCCCAGCAATGAACCTCGTGCTGGTCCCCGTGACACCCCAAACCCTGAAATTACTGTAATCAGATCCAGCAAAAGGCAGTGCAACAGAGGTATATAAAACCTGCCCTGGACACAGCTGCTCTCTTGTAGGCTGCAAAGGCATAACGACGATGAAGGCTTCCCTTCTTGCCCTGCTGGCTGCAGTCCTGTGTGTGGATCTAGGTGAGCCTATATGATTTCTCTGCGGCAGCTTCCAAGGAGGTAGGGGTGAATCAGGGACACAGCGTGGAAATAGCAGGGAAGCAGGAAGGGCTTGAAGGGATGCGCAGTAGAGAAGCTGTCATCTGCAGCGGAAACTAAATCGAGTGGTAGAGATGTTTGCCAACAGTGGGACTCGCATCCCAGCTGCCACCTCCATCTACAGTCCGTCGCTTTGTAGCATGGAGCAATGCCTTGAGACCCACTTATGACTGAAATTGGGTGCAGCTTGCAGAGATTTGTGCAAAGCGTTCAGAGTTACAATGTTACCCCAGACCAAACAGAAGTTCCCTGTTGGATCCAGGGGGCAGGGGAATATAGCTGCGGGATGGGAGCTTTGCAGATACAAGTTACATTAGACTACGTTTTGAAACGTCTTTATCTGATACCTCATGCAAGGAGGGGTCAGATTTTCACCCGATCGGCCATTTTTGAAGCTGTCTGCAGCTGTGCGCTTGTGTTTGCTCGCAGCTCTAAACTGCTTTCTGTGGCCAGATGGGGTGAAAATTGTCACTTCCGTCTGCAATACAGATTCATCAAGTCCGGTACCTTTCCTTATGCTCAGAGCCATGAACCGGGGTGCAACGACTTTCACACTTGCAGGTTGGGAAATGCACACGAGCAAATGAAGTGTAATGGAGTAAGAGAATTAATCAAGAGGGGTTTATGGAAAGTGGAGCTAATTGGATGTCTTGTCTAATGGAGACTACAGGTTTGCTTAATAATGGTAATAGTGCTCTCAGACCTCTGCTAAGGCATTTGGCTTGATCTCGCATGACACCTGTTTAATAAACCTGTTTAATTAGTGAGGATTAAACCCCCATCATGTGCACAAGCACCCCCCAGATTGTAAAATCATGACACAGGCTATATAGAGACCTGAAATTGGGTAATAGGTCGGGACATGTAACTGCGGAGAGGGCTTTATCCTGTTTGTAGTGGGATCCTGCAGGATGGAGTCAGGTCTCTTTTCTGTTTAACCTTTTTATCAGTGACTTGGGAGAAAATACAGCATTGGCGCTGATAAAGTTTGCAGATGATATAAAGGCTGGGAGAGGACAGGGCATTATGATAGGGCTTCTCCAGTCAGGCAGCTTAAAGCTAGATCCCCTGGCTAGAAACTGAAAGGAGGCAAGTTCATATGAGCTGCTGCCTGGGGCAGATTTGTCACCCCTGGCAAATTTTAAGGCAAGATGGGATGTTTCTAAGCCTGAAAGATCCCCTCTGGGTCAAATCATCATGACATTGGGGCTTTCCCTCAGCCTGTCCTGTGCTGGAGTTCAAGCTAGGGAAGCACAGCAGTCTCTCCTGACTTCCAGATCTATGGAGAGCAGATCCATGTTACAAATGATATGTAGACAGAGCAGAGGGAGGGTAGAGAAAGAGGAGGCAAATTTGGGAGACCTGCTTAAACGTTCCTCAATGAGCTCTACTGCCCGTAGCACCGCACCCTCCTCCTCTGCTAGCCACGGTCCAGAAAGAGCAGCTGCAGCAGCCTTTTGGGAGGGGCCCGATCCTGTCAGCGCCTGCTGGAGCAGATGTACTGGACCACCCAGACCTTGCCTAAGTGCCTTTTGGGATGCTTAGGCAAGAGCTGGGTGCCTCGCTGCTTAAAAGGCCAATTCTGTGCATGCCTTGAAGTTGGCATCTCAGCATCTGGGGAGCTCCCAAGTGCAACAAGGAGGTGCCCAGTGACTGCAGCTGTTCCAGGGCTGGGCACCAGCTTGTACGCAGGTATTTCTCTCTATTCGGGCAGTTTTCATGTTCGCCTCGCCAGAAGCAGCCAGCTTTCCTCGCCTGCTATTTTGCACTGCATGTGAAGGACCAGCAGCCTGGCGTTGTGCCAGGAGGTGACCCCCCCTCCCGAAATGACTTGCAATTGTTCTTTGATTTTTTTTTTTTTTTAATTGGCCCAGTGTCTGCCCAAACATGAATGCTGCTTTGATATAGCTTAAGGCTGGGATTCAATCCAGCTTTGTTTAAATTGTGGCAAACCCCTGCATAAGCTCACATTTTGGGGCCAAGAATGGCTTATTTATTTCCATTTAGATCAAACTGCCTAGGAGCAGGTTTAGGGGAACCTGAAATAAACCGCTTGATATTCCAATCCCTGCACAGCCTTTTGCAGCTGATTTTAGCTGGGAGGCTTAAAAACCAGTTAAGTGTGGGCTAGCTTGCTCGTGTCCGTGAGCTGCTACGTCTCATGTGAATAGCTCCTTTTGAACTACTTCTCTAAGAAGCTGGCATCAGTTGTGTTGGCTGCACAGATGACTGCCCATTTCTCAGAGTCACACAGTTGTGCACTCTCCAGCCTTGGAGGTTTTTAAGACAAAGCCTTGATTTCTCAGCATCATACAGTTGTGGACTCCCCATCCTTCGAGGTGTTTTAAGACCCGGGTAGACAAAGCCGTGGCTGGGATGATGCGGGGTGGAGACAGGTGCAGGGCCGCGATGACAATCAGCTGATGGTCACATGCAGCAAGACACTGAGAAGCCAAGGGAGATCGCTACTTAATCTTCTTTGGGCTGTAGTCATCTTGAAGCTTCCCAAAAGAAGCCAGGAGTGTTCTCCCCATTTTACAGATAGAGGGACTGAGGCTCATGGTGGGGAAATGACTTGTCGAAGAGGATCCAGTGGCAGAGATGGAAGTGGAACATGGGGCCCTGGAGTCTGGCGCTCTCCATGAGGCCATGCAGCCTCCGTACTGAGGAAAAAAAAGGGTCTTTTTCTGCCACAAATTTCTCAGACATACAGGCTTGGCTTTGTTCAGAATTTGTTGTCAATTTTCTCAACCCAACATTTTGTATCCTTTTGATGATTCCCCTCAATTGGTTAACATTTCTGCTGCCTTCCTTCTTTAAGAAAGGTTCCTTCGGGGCCATTTCTTCCTGGAAGAGTCTAAATGGTATTGCACACGCCTTTTGCAGGTTACTCCTTACATTGCTATGTCTGCAATGAAGAGCCCTCCAACTGGAATTGTATGTCCTCAAAGGCGTGCGCATCGCATGAAAAATACTGCATGACCACCTTTGTCTCTGGAGGACTCGGTAAGTGTGAGCAATATCTCCACCAGGTTTTGTTCTCTGTGGGCGCGTCTACACATGCACTTCAATGTGCATTCACCTATTTTAATGTGCATTAGTGTTACAAAAAACGCTCTTTTGCTAATGCACATTAAAATAGGCTAATGTGCCTATGGAGGTACTAGACTTAATGCACATTACCTAAAGCACTGTAATCGAATGTGTAAACGAACCCTGTGTTGCCTAAGCTATGGGTATGATTTATGTGGGAAGCAGGAGGTCTCCCCGACATGTCCCTTGCTTGGGCATGAGATAGCAGGTGAAGAAAGAATGGGTTAACAGCGGAGGCAAAAACTGTGATTATGCATTAATGCCATCCCTATCAGGGTCTCTTTTTACCACCCGTACCATGGGGTGGTGGAACTGGAGCTTGCTCCATCCACTCCATGCATTGGCCTGGTATTGCAGTGCTTCCAGGACCGGTGCAAAAAAACCAAAAAAAAAAAAAAAAATGGTTTTCTTAGACAGAGTTTTGGGGGGTCTGGGGGGGATGTGAAATGATGATTCTTCCTCTTGCTTTTCTCTGCCAATGAAGGTAATGAAAAAAGTTTCCGCATCAGCAAGAAATGTGCTGCAGATTGCTCCCAAACAAACGTGAACTTCGGCGTCACAGCCGTTTCAACCAACTGCTGTGGTACGTGGCTGTGCAACTTCAGTGGAGCTAGCAGCGTGAAAACCAGCTTTGCTGTGATGGCATTTGGGGTCTTGGCCAGCTTCCTCTGTGTCCTTCGAGTTGGGCTGTGATGGAGCGTGGCAAGAAAAAGGATTTGGCTTCCTCTAGAACTTGCATGGGCTTTTCCCTGGGGGACACCAAGATGCTGTCGGGTGCAAAAGTTTCCATCGAGATCAGCAGGGCCCCAGTTCCTCCAGGCAGCATTGCAGATCCCAGGCTGTTTCGCGCTCACTCTGTGTACCGCGGTCTTCTCTGCTAGAGGCAGGATTTGTGAGATGTGGGTCACCGTGTTGCCCTTCCTTTGTGGGGAGGATAAGTACCTGAAAGAATAGCTTGTGCTGTGGTGTGGGATCGGGGGACTGGGAAAGTAGCTAAGAGAGGTCTCCACGTCTTTCATT